AAATTAAAGTAAATTCCTTCTGTTGGAGCAGAGCCATCTGTCATTATTTTTTTCACTGGAATGCAATTGCTTTTCCTTTAACCACGACTTGTTATAGTCTCTTCTGCAAATTCATGACACAAGGCAAATTTATGATTAAGACGACATGACATGTACCTCGGCCGGAGGATGTCCATACTGCTTCTCAGGTTGGATGACTAAACGTGACTTGGCCAATAAACCTTCCTACGCCTTTGCAAGAATATCCACTTAATTGCCGCCCTTTTAAACGCCCACGTCTGCTCTTCCCACACCCAATTCACCACCGTAATTCCCACTTGCTTAACTGTCCCAAGTGACAATTACGGCTTGCCTCGTCACACAGCACGCACAATTCTCAAATCACTTCATTAGCTTTCTAATTTAAAGCATTGTCTTTTAACACAAAACTCGAGATACGTCGACAAAAGGAAATACATTCACAGTGATGAGGGAGAGGGCTCATTTCATGCATGCAGTAGTTAGGAAATTAGGCTATCCACTGGCCAAAGTATGTTTGAACATGCACATGTGGGAATTCCTCCTCACGCTATGCCCGGATACGGGCGAACCCAGCCCTCCTCACCATCTCATAGCCCTCTGTGCTTCCAGGTGGGACTCTAAGGCGAAGTTAACCACCGCCTTTGAAACAATGAACCTGCAACCACTTCGACAATGCTCTTCATCAAGCTTTCCCAGCTAAACAAAAATTAGTACAGGCATACCTGTACCATTTTGGTGAAAGAACAACGAAGTTCTTTCACCACGATTCCCACAAATATACTCGAATTTAAAGTTACTTTTTGAGTCGTAAGCGTCAACTTTGAATGTCCCATTTTGTCTGACGGCTGGTTTTTGTTTTTTAAATCCCCTGTTAGATAAAAAATGAACCCAGAGTGGATAGCTTTTGAAAAACTGTTTGTGGAATTGAAAATGATTGTCCAATTAATTGAAGTATGCATGTAGTAAAAGAAATCCAGGGTGAGTAGCCGTGGTTCCACGACCGCTCAGTGGACATTGGAGCAGTATCACATATTCTAGTTCAGGTGGAATTTAAACAGTTCAAAGAATTCCTAAATTCGCTGTAAATCCAGTCTGAATTAGGAACTGTCGAGGTCACAGAGTGGTTGCCTTCTTGATTAGCAATTCTCATTGAATTAGCTGGAGGGCACGCTGACAAGGGATGAGATCTCTTTACACTGACATTCATTTGTCCGCAATTCTGCCCTTATTCAGAGGGAAGATATCATTTACTTGGGCTCTCTTATCTGCCAAAATTATAGATAAGGTTGTCCCTCAATAGGTGTCTCAAGTTTGGACAAAATAATTGGTCAGGCGTTATGCTGACATCAATCATTGTTGACCAATCCGCAGAAGCGGTCTAAGCCAATGTCGCCTAGCCTCGGTTGATTAATGAATACACACTGGAAAGCAACGTTGACCTCGGCCGATCTTTGACCCCAACCCATTTCACTTCAAGCAGGAGTAGTTCGCATTGAAGGATTCACGTGTTGGCTTTTTCAGTTTCTGCTTCCAGTCCATGTGAGGAGGTTTTCGCGAGTTGCCTTTGCACAACACCCGGTGATGAAGTTTCATCTATGCACAAGAGTGTCCACTTGGAAAGCAGTAAAAAACAGGGAATTAAGGCCTTAACTACTTCCATACACCAAGGAGATAGTTACTGCAAAGGCACTTAAGCTCAAAGATCCCTTACCACAGAAATGGTATCTGGGTTTTACAGTCGCAACTCACAGTCAAATACTGATTTCCATATAGTCCAATTCAAGCTCGCGACTTCACGCATCCTCCTTCAGGCTGGTGCAGTTACATTGTGTTCCCCACCGAATACAGTCCACGACATGTGGTTATTTGAACCTGAATGCACTAAATGACTGTGGAATATTAAACGTAGGTGGGGGAAAGTTTAAAAGCATCTGTGATGCGAATTTCCTTGGATTCTGCTTTCAAGTTTTAAGATCCCACAGCCTGCGATTCAAGGATTTGTACTTTTGTGGTGATTTAGTCGTTGTCCCCATCTAGTGGCTATCGCCTTCCCTAAAACCCAATTTGACATATCGGTACAACAACTCAGGGAGGCTGTAGGCAAGACCTGTGTGAACGGGGATGGTAACTGCACCCTGGAGACTGAAATCCATAAAAAGGTAGTTATTTAATGCAACTATGGGTTGTTCAGGTAGAATGAGGGCAGTTGATCCTCTAAAAGGTAATATTGTGCAAGGGGTGAAACCCACACAAGTTTCCCACCTACTCCTTGAAATACTTATGCACTATATGATTAGACAATATCTGGAAAATTTTGCCATAGCCCACCTATTCGGGAAAGTTGGCTGCCAGCAGATTAGCAATACTGACAGTGCTTTTACTCACCTCACTCACACAGAGGGGCTGATCACCTCAAATCGTACCTGAATTGTCCAATTTCACTAGCTGTTCACTAGACAAATTTCAACAGGAACGACATGTGTGCCAAGGACATGGCAGACAGGAGTCACTACGGCTGCGAACGTCAGAGACAGAGGTGCAACCCGCAGAATCACTGTGTTGTGATTCTACCTCACGACTTATGTGGGGACCTGCTCGTTGAGATTTGTCGTATTCTTCCACAGTACACACTGTTGGGTTCACCCACTACCAGCGTTGACTGTCATCCCGATTTATGCGTCCGGTCTGACTCACGAGGTGTACGCCGTGTGTTGGTAGAAGTAGAGGGACGCATTTGCCACTTTCCACCAATGTAGCAGCATCCTAATTACCTGGGGAAGTGTGAACTCCTCAAAGCATCGAATATCTCCGTGTCACGTTTGGCATGACAACGCTAAGTCTGGTGGACAATCTCACCTCCAGTAAAGTCAGCTTCTGCAAATTTGTAGGGCATCTTACTAAGGGATGTGCACCCTAATGCTGGCAAATTACGGGACGACTCCTCACAACATGATTCAAATTTGATTAAAAATGTGCCAATAAATCCAAGATTGTGGTCGAAAGGAAAGAGGAGTATAAAGCAGTCCTGACTACATGATACTTGCTGAGTGAATGGTTTATTGTGTAGTGCTTCCCCTCAGTTTAATGAAATTCGCTATTAGGAAATTATGCTTCCCAAATAGACATCCATTTCGTTTCCCTTACTGCAAATGCAATTTGTAAGTGCAGGAATCAAAATGTTAGTTGTCAACAAGGCCGAAGTAGTTTGTAGGTGGTATGGAGAATGAATTAACACCCAGATGTATGGAGACGGGTGGAGGAGAGGTCGTCTTAAGTGTCATTCTCCATCAGTCGTTAAGGTGAATTTCATACTCCATTGGGAATGCATTAGACAGCAGCGTGATGTCCCAGTCAGTCAGTCAGGCAGTCGGTGAGATAAGCAGCCAGCAAGGTAAGTAGGCGGGTGGGCAGGTAAACGAGCCTTTAACGTGCCAAATACGCCCTGTGCACAGTCCCATTACTTTATCCAAAAGTGTGAGTCAACACACACACAAGAGGAGGAAGGGTGGAGAAAAATCCCTCCACTGAGCAGCCAGCATCACTCGGCATCAAAATTTGTCTGTCGGTGTCTGTCTGCCTGAACCGGTACATGAGAGTGAAATCTCATTGGCAAAGAGGTTAAAATGATTGTGACTTGGATCAAATGATGTTATGTTCGCGTAATTCTCCGTTGTGCTCACTTTGCTGTCAAGGCAAATCATTTGGCTTTGGCGAAAGTAGCGTGATTACAGAGCGGGCATTTGCAATGGAGGATGGTGTACAAGTTTATCTTGAATTGAAGAGGATCTCTCCATCTTTGGTTGCATGACCACCATCAGCTGCATTAGTAGCACCAAATGTTTCGACTAGAAGTAAATCTTACCACTGACACACCAATTGTAGGTGGGATCCATTTATTGTTGCCGACTGACATGACATTTGGAGGCCAATGCAATGTTTGCTAATAAACCTCTTCTTTTGTCAATCGTTTCGTTTAGGGGCGCGAAAGGTTCCCAAAGGGCAGTGTAGTCAGGGGTAAATGGCTGCCGAGTGCAGTGGTGGGAGTGATAAAGCGTAAAGGCTGTAATGGTGGGTAAGTGGGTGATATGACATTTGGTGCTTCGCACTTAGACGAAGTGTCTTTGGTGTCGTGTCACTCACATCTGACACCCACTGCTACTTGCATGCGTTGTGAGACGGATTCTCAGTGCGCTACTGTAGGTCCCAATTGTACTTCCATCTTGCCGTGCATCCATCAATGCAGCGGATCACGTCATTTTGATGGAGTATTCACTTTACTATGTAGTTCTCATAGGGACAGTCGCAATTTGTTTACTGCCCACAGCAGCATCTCATAAGACGTTGCAGATAATCATCCTGGATATGCACCTATCTACTGTGCACAGATGAAAAGAGAGATGGGTAAAATAATGTCAAGTTCTTCCGTTTTATGTTATACTGCTTCCTTTACCACTCGATCATCATTCGTGTTGAATGCATTACGTATATATCTGTATCCAGTTGTGTCTTTACACAATGTTTGGGTGTCATTGAAATTAACCTGCAATTAGTCGGCTTCCCTCAATCTATTCAAATTTCTTTCAGCCACTCTCCGTAATCCTCATGGAAAGTGCTCCTACTCGACAGTGTACACATCGCTGGCAGCCAATTCTCCTCCCTATCTCGGTAGCGAGATTGCCCTTTAGCCTCCACAAAGTGCCATTTGCATTGCAGTGCTGACTTTCACTAATCAGCACAAAGTTGAACACCAAAGAAAAACAACGAGACGAGGTTGTACTACCAAATCATTCCACTTCGTTAACACCTGCAATCTGCCCCTCTTTCTTCTGCTATTTAGGGAAGCATTGAGTCGGAACTGTTTCTGTTTTCAGCAGAAAACATCGCACCAGAAATTAACAATTCAGCACAAAAATAGTAAAACCTACGTGGAGAAAACAATGATTTTATAAAAAAGAGCGTTAGAGGACACCTGATGCGCAGCAGAAAAAATCACGTATCAAGTGCGCAAAACGGAAGATTGTTTAAAAGCAGAAAAAGAAACAAAGGAGACCTCTGATCTTCCCCATTGTGGCATATCCTCGTCACGATATCGCGTTGGAAACAACTGATGGCTCAGCTGGCTGCGTAATGGGCATGTCAATTCCCTTGGACAAAAATCCCCTCAATAATAAACCTTCGCTCAAATATGCCATTTTAGAGCATAAGCAGATAAATAAATGCTGTCACATTTGAGTGGGTGTGGTTTGAACTTTTAAAGTGAGTTTGGAGAATTGCGTTTTGCCACACATCAGCCGTGATTTCTTCTCACTGATAACAAGGCACTTAGAGTCCCAAAGACAAGGACTGCAAGTGGCTGATAGAGTTACGGGAGTGTTATGCCAACCAAAACTCATTTTCATTTGATTTACGGTCATGTCTAATCTGGATGTCTCTGCGATGTTCCTCGATCTTGCAACACGTGTGTGAAAGTGTTTGGAAAATATGCCGCGCAAAACCGATGAGAGTAGAAGCATATTCCACTGAATGGTAGGGTGACTCCAAGGGATCAGTGCATACTTTCCGATTCGGTAGTGACGAAAGGACACAAAAGTAGGCTGGATCGTATATTAGTCAGTCGGTGAAAGTGCCGGGTCCCGAAGTCGTTAGGCGTCTAAATGGCTGCAATCTGCATCTTCGATTCAGTCCATTTAAATTTTGAAACAATGGAAGAATTTGCCCTCATAATGATTGATCAAAAGCATATGCAGTGCCACTTTCATTTGCTAAAGTTAGAAATGCACCACTGCTTCCTGATGAAACAGGATTTATAGAGGAGTGCAGAAAATGCAAACAGCAGTGAATTTTATGCACGTGTAGGCACACACTTAACGACTAAGTTGCAAAATAGGTGATAAAATTGCGAGTGCATAGATGCTGCCAGTCTGTCTGTTGATGTAAACTTGTAAACAAATTATCTGCTGTCACAGTGCAGTAGGATTGGTGAACAATTCCGGTACATGGAGTAAGCTGATAAGCACATGACACATTAGGGAATTAGGTAGCAAAGCACGAAGTAATTTTAAGGGGCTCAAGTCTCCTCCGCTTTTGATGCTCCACAACGATTTGCCATGATGGCTAACCAAATGAAAATAAGTTGTTTAATAGGGTGACACGCTGTACCACATCAACCACTTTCTGACCCACCTTTCACACCTCTAAGTAATTCGTTTTCATTCCAAAAAATCACTCTTAATTTATGACAAAACATGATCCTGCGCACATACCTAGAATGCCCAAACCACAGCCTTCCCACCTTAGCATTTAGTGTGTGCTTACTTGGACTGCAAAATGACACGCTTGAACAATCGCTTAAGTAATTGACGAGGATATGTGTCCGAGGGAAATGACATGCCCATTATACAATTAACTGAGCCATCGGGTTGTTTGCTGTGGCGATGTCGAGGTGAGGAGTTGCCACAATCCTAGAGACCAAACAGCTTCGTTCGCCTTCCTCTGTTTTAGAGAGGCTTTCTCTTTAGAGCACTTGATGTGGCATTTTACAGTTGCATATAAGATGCTGCCCTCTTCGAAAGGTAGAAATTGTGGTAAAGCATAGAGGAATTTTAAATTTCTTGGAGCTTTCGCCTTTGCGAGGATGTGTTACCCACGAAATTTCAGTTTACTTTCAGTCAATTGCCCTTACAATTGAAATGCTTTAATATAGCTTCTCAACACTTCCTTGAGTGCAAGAGAAGACACAACGCTAGGGCAGAATGTGTACTGGTGACGGAGTGAAGGATTTGGGCGCTACTGACATGGGTCAGAGTTCAGACCGCCTAATGCAGGCACAGCGAAGGAGGTCTTAGTGTCCCGTTACTAAAACCAAGATTTGAACAAGCAACGGAAGCAGTGCACTAAGTTTCACGCATTAAAGCCTTCAAATTCTGCTGCC